CCCCAACCCCAACCCAAATTACCATTCAAAATATATTTATATAATTATTTTACCTAAAAATATAAATAGTCTATATATCTTTTACAAATAAGTTTATAAAATATATATATATTTAATTAATTATTTTTTGATATTAAATTGAATAAAAATATTTTTATAAAATTAAATTAATATTTTTATAAAATAAAATCAAAATTATTTTTATCATTTATGATTCAGATATATTTTTTTTAAAAAATTTCGTTTGATATTAAATATGTTTTTATTATAATTTATGAATAAAAATATTAATAAATATTTATATTTTAATATTTTAATTTTTTCAGTTATATTAAAACTTTAATTAAGATTTTAAATAATATTTCAAACATACTTAAATAAATTGCATAAAATTATATTTTTAATTAATTTCAATTTATAAGGGTTCTTAAAAAATATTTTTTTTATAAATTAATTTAAATTTTACAATTATTATATTTATTTTGAATAATTCTTTAAATCTTTTTAAATATATATATAAAATTAATTTATTTACTTTTTTTATATTTTATATATATACTTTTTTTTTTGTAATATTTCTTTTATTTATAAATTGATTTTTTAATATTAGAATGTTTTTTTTTAGGTAATTAATTTATTATTAATATTTTTATATAAAACTTAGTAAAAAAATTAATATATATAACTCCAGCTTTATTATTTTACAAATAAATAATATAAGACCTTGGTTAGATTTAATTCTTTTGTTCAAAGAGTAAATAATAATATTTTATTTCAAATAATTTCGACAATGTTTTTATTAATTTTTGTCAAATTTAAAAGACTTTATAAAAATCTAAAATAAATATTATAAATAATAAAATAATAATTATATGCATATTAATTATAAAATTTTAATTATGTTTATTTTAAAATATTTTTATAAATGAATTTTTTAATAAAAAGTAACAAATTAAAAAAAAAGTTATTTTAAAAAATAGTTAGTTTTTAAAAATTTGATTAATATTAAAAATAAACTTTAAACAGATTTTTTAAAACATTCATAAATTTAATATTTCTTATTTATAACTAAAATAAAAAAAATATACTTGAAAATATAATAATTTTTTATCAACTATTTTCTTGTAAATTTTTACTTTAAAAGTATTTCTTAACTTCTCCAACTAATAATTATTTTATTGAATTTTGTGAATATATTCCCTTTAAATATTTATTATTTTTTAAAATCTTTTCCGCTAAATGCTTTACTATCTTATCCATCAAATTACTTTTGAATTTAGTCCCTTCAACGTTTGTCTAATTTTTTTTATTTTTTTTTATAAATAAAAAATATATATTATTTTACTTCGCTATTCCAATCTTCTTTTAATTCTTATTTATTTTATTCAGTTTTTAATTCAGTTTTTTATTAATCTTAAAAAAAATATATAAATATATAAATTAAAAATTTAAAATATATAATTTATTTACTTTTTATTTTTACAGATTTCTAACTTTATTATATTTTTTAAGTTTCATCTTATTATTAAGATTAACTCTAATTTTCTTTTTGACTTTATTCTACTTTTATATTGCTTATTCTATCTTTTAAAGCTTTTACTACGCTTTAAACTTCTAAATCATTAATATAAGATTCGTAGTCTAGATTATTAGCAAAATCAAGTAAGTCTTAACATTCTTAATCTTCTTCTTTTTAAATCTATTATTCGCTTTTAGACCATTAAGGTTTTTTATTGCTGTTATTAACTCTAAGAATATTTTAAAGTTATTGATTTGATATGTATAAATTTTCTTCATTTTCTACTGAATTTTATTAGTTTAAATCTGTGTTTTCGTTTTAAATATTACTCTTTCTTTAAGCTATCCTTCTAACAGATTATTATCTTAACTATTTTGATATTTTAAATTGAATTATTATTATTTTATTTACTTTATTTGTCTTTTTTATTTTATTTTCATTATTTTCTTTATTTGTTTATTATTTATGCTTAACATATTTCTTATATTATTCAAGCCATTATTTGTGTCTTGATAAAACAATATGTACTCCTTTAATAAATTTAACTTTTAAAAAGAAAACTAAAAAATTATATTAATTACTTTTAATTGGTTAATTAAATTATATTTTGGCAACTGGATTTGTTCCAAGCAATTCTTTTTTATCAACTCTAGAGATAAATGGACTATATAATTGTATTATATATATTTATTTTATAAATATTATTTAGTTTTTACTGATTTTCTTTATGTTCTATCTTTTCGTTAGGCCTTGTACAAATCATAAGACCTTTATAATTGCCTATTCCTTCTACGAATGTAAAAATAAATAATGTAAATTTGTTTCATTTAAATTTCTATTAAAAATATTTTTTTGTAATTTACATTTGAATTAGTTTTGTTATTCAGACATTTAAATTTTTGTTTTATTTATTGTTGTATTTTTTTTTTTATAAATATATTTATTTTATATTTAATAGTTATATTTATTTAGATATTTGCTATGCTCTTAATATTTTTAATTATAAATTTTAAAATAATATTAAATATTTTGAAATTAATTAAAGCTTTCAATATTTTATTTAATTTTTATAAATATTCTCATTAGTTGATAAAATTTATTTTTCAAAGTAGAAAAAATATTTACATTATGATAAGTTTTGAAAAGAATTAAAAATTATGTTTATATTATTTATATATAATATTAACTTTTTTATTAAGAAGTATTCAAAAAATGTTGTTTGTATGCTATAATACTGAAAATTAAATAGTTTAATTATTTTGTTTTTATGTTTAATTTATTTGATTTTTATATTTAATTTTAATTAATTAAGAAATATAAAAAATTATAAACATATGATATTAAAATAAAACATATTAATTTAAATAAATTTATTAAATATTATTAAAAAATTATTAAAATTCTAAATAAATTTATTTTTTTATAATTTATATAATATTAAAGACTAACTAACAAATTATTTTATTAATTTTTATATAAAATGTCAATAAGAAAATAAAAATCATTTAGTTTTTTTTCCTAACCGATTTCTCCTAAATCATAGAATAAAAATACGCTTAAAAGAAATTCAGAAAATTATAATTCAAATAGATATAAATAAAAAGAAAATTAAACTATATTACATTAAGGTTAAACATACAATATATAATAATCCTTAAAATAAAGTTCTATTATAAATTTCGAATAAAGAAAATAAATAAATTATAACAAACAAATAAACATAAATAATAATAATAAAAATATATTAATTTAAAAATTTCCATAATCGAAGATATTTGAAAAAACTTAAAATTTTAAATAAAAATATAATGATTAAAAATAATAAGTTATTAAATTAAAATAAATAATATAAGAAAAAGATTATATAATTTAGTAATAATAAAAGCATATTTAGGAAAACGAGCAAATATAAGAAAAGCTAAAAGCTTAATAATAAGAGTTTATTCAAAAAGAATTAGAAATATATTAATTAAAATTGGAAACTTAGTAAAAAGATAAAGAAATATAAGATTTTTTTGATATAAATTTGAAGATAAGTTTGTAAAATAAAATTTTGAAAAATAATTTATAAAAAGCTGAGGAAAACTTTATTTAATTAGAACATGAAAATTCAAGACTCAAAATAATATTATCGTAAGAAGTTGAAATTAGTTAAAAAATGAAATTTTGTTGAATTTTATTTTTTATATCAAAAAGCATTTATAAATTTTATCTTATTCAAATATTTATATAAATACTATATTATTAATACTTAAAAAAAGTAAACTTACTTATATTTTTTAATATATATTAATGTAGTATAATAATAAACTAATAAATTTTATTATTTTTACACAAAAAAAATTGTTGACTTATTATATATAAATTTAAATTTTTATTATTTAAAACACAAAATTAAAAAAAGAATTTGTGAATTAAATATTTATTTATTTTAAAAAAGTAAAATTCAAATAATTACAAAAATAAATATTAAATTTAAAATCAATATTTAATTAAATAAATATTTATAAAAAAAAACAAAAATAAATATGAAATAATATTTAGATACATATTAATATTAAAAATCATATAGTTTAGATAAATAAAATGATAATTTTAATTAATAGCATTATTTTATTTTATTTTATAATAATTTTAATAAATAGTTTATTTTGTTTTTTCAAAAAAAAATTTTTTTAAGTTTAACATATTCACTAATATATAGTTGCAAAACAAAAAAATATTGTTTTAAAAAAAACAAAATTAAATATTTAAAAAGTATATTTTTAATTATAATTAAAAATAAAATAATGTTTCTAATTAAAATAATAATTTTTCTTATTACTTTTTTTTTAGAATAATTCAATATTTTTGATATTAATATTTTTCTAATATTATTTCAATAATTTTTAAATTCTTATAAAAACTATTTAGGATCAAGCTATTCAATTTTTTCAATAAAAATTTTCGGATTAGTTTTGTAATTTAAATATGATAAATAATTTTTTTTTAAATCTTCTTTTTACTTCTTACTTTCATCCAATATTTCTAGTTTTGATTTCAATATATCATATCTGTGTTTTTAATTAAATTAATTATTAAATTATTTATTCTAATTTTCTTACAATTAATTAATATATACTGTTAATTTAATATTGAAATTATTTTCACTTTTTGTTATTTATTCCAAATTTTTAACAATAAAAATAAAATTTTCACTTGTTATATCATTATTATGCATTTTAGTAATAATTGCATATCTTAAATTTTAAACTTATTTGATTTTACAAAAAAATTTAATAAAGAAACTGTAAATTCTTGTAAATAATTGTAGTACTATAAAAATTTTATTTTATAAAACTTATAAAATCATTTTTGTAGAAGTTTAATCCTTTTTAATAATTTTAATCTGTTTTTTTATTTATTTCACAAATAGTAAATTTATCAAATATTTTTTTATTATTATCAGAATATTTAGTAATACATTATTTCATTTTATTATTTAACATTACAGAATAATTTTATTCGTTATATTTTCTCCATAAATCTGGCTATTATATTATTTTAATTTATATAATTTATATATTTATGTCACAACATTTTTATAATTAATTAAAAATTTCATTGAACGTTAAAGAAATCAAACTTTAATAAGAGCCTTAATTTGAATTTTAAACCATAATTTCATTAATTAACTTATCAATTACTTGATCATTAATTAAAAATTAAATTTTTTAATAAAAAAAATTTTGCTCTTTAATTAAATAATCAAATACTTATTCTTAATTATAGTTATCTTAAGTCTATTATTTATAAGATTATTTTAAAATATTCAAAATTAATGATACAATAAATTTTTTTTTCTTTTTAAAATTTAATTATTTTTTCATAACTAAGCAAAAAATCACAAAACCAATTTAATCTTTGCTTATTTTCATTGGAATAATTTAAAAATTATTAATCGACATAAATCTGAATATAACTATTTTATAAAAAATAATTATCGCAAGTATACTTCTAAAATTCTTGAGGAAAATACAATTAATAGTTATTATTTAAATATTCATATTATATCAAATATTCTAAATAGTTTTCAAGTACAAGTAAACACATTTCAAATATAATTTCCTATAAATAATAAATTGTATTTTTTTTTTAATATTATTACTTGTATTTATTCTTTTATTTAACCTTACTAAGCAAAGTTTAGTATTTTTACTCCTGCTTATCCTGTTGATGCTTTAAAAAACAATCTTCTGTATTTAAAGAAATCTATTGCTAATGTTTAAAATTGATTTTCATTGATAAATTATTATTTTTTTAAATTATTTTAAATTTCATTTTATTCTTTTAGTGTATTTTCAATTAAATTAAACAAAACTAATGAGAATAAAATTTTATCATAATCAGAAAAACTCTAATCAATTTTAACTTTTTCACGTTTAGAATTAAGAAATAGATTTCTTGCTAAATTATTAATAAAGCTTTTTAAAGTTTTTTAGTTGCGAAACAGATCATAGGTTAATTTATAAGGCTATAATAATATTCCATATTTATAAATATTCATTAAGAAATAATTAAAATCTTTAGTTTATAATAATTAAAATGATTATTAAATATCACATTTTTATAAATTTTACAGCTATTTTTTATACATTTTTTAATTTAATTATTATTTTAAATTTAATATTTTTTTTTAAGTAAATTAAGGGTTAGAAATTAATAATTAAAACTCTTCACTTTATTATTTTATTATTTAATTATTATATGCTTCATTTAAAACTTTATTAATTTAAATAATTTAATTTTAAATTTATTATCAAAATCAAATGAATTATTTTCTGGAGTTTTTTATTTTGTTTATTAAATTATTTTCTCTAATTATTAATCTAAAAACAATATTTCTAAACTCTTTAAAACAATATTTAAACAAAATTTTTAATCTATATTAAGATCTGAATTATTTTTTTATATATAATTTAGATTGTCTTATAAATACAAACAATATTTATTCATGAAAGATGCAGTTAATTTTCCCTTATTTAAAAAAATAAATAAAAATATATCATAAAACGAATTTTATTTTATACTAATTATTTTAACATAATGCTAACCCAAACTTCCTATCAATAAGCTTTAAATGAGAAAAACTTTCATTTTTAATACTATTTATTAAAGTGTCTTTTAACAATTCATTATTATCTTTATATATTTTTGAGTAAACATCAATAATATAGAAATCTCTTCCAAAAGGCTCCCAAAAGTTAACATAATAATTATTATTTCGATATGATTTTGATTGTATATTTGCATCATAATTAAATTCTTACAAAGGAATTAATCTATAAAAACAAACATAGTCAATAAAAATTTTAAAAATTAATATTATATATATATTATATAGATATTTACTCATATAATTAACAAAAACATTATTCAAATAATATATTAAATTCTTTTTTTACTCCATATTTGCTTTCTAAATTAAAAGATTAATTAAAATTCATCAAATAATTAAGAACTTTAGCAATAACAAATTTAAAAGAATCATCTAATTTATTAATTACACAATAAAAAGGATTAATTTCTTAGACAAAAAATTCCAAACTTAGCTTAAGAAATATTAATATGTCTAATAGTTGAATTATATGTATATTTTAATTTTAATTTTACATTATATTTTCCAAAAAGTTTAATACTTATTATAATAAATCTGCATATTAATTTATTATATAGTTTTCTTAAATTTTAATATTAATACATCTAATTTAAATTAATGCTTTTAATGAATTTAAAATTTTAAAGATCATTTTCAAAGAGTATTTTAAAATTATAATTTTTCATTGATTATTAATATAAATGAAGTTAATAAAATAGATGTTAATCTTAACTTTTCTATATTGTTCCTAACT